CCTCCCTCCTCCTCCTCCTCCTCCTCCTCCTCCTCCTCCTCCTCCTCCTCCGCCTCCGCCTCTGCCTCGTCCGTAGCCATTTTGGCTCAAGGAGGCACGGCTCCAGGCGCGTTTGCGCGCGTGCTCGCGCCGCGCCCTCTTTCGCGCGGCCCTCCGCGCGCCTCGCGGCGCGCTCCGCGGCGCCCGGCGCCCGCCGGCCGCCACTCGTCCTCGGCGGGCTCATGGCTGCGCGGGTCGCCAGCGCCACGGTCGCGCAGGCATCGCCTGTCGAGGAGGATGCCGCCCATGTGCCGATCGAGGCAGGGGCCGCTCTGGCCCAGGAGCTGTCCAGGTGTCTGGCGCAGGCGCTCGCCGAAGAGAGGCGGGCGCTCCGCGTCGCGCTGGAGAGGAGCCACGAGGCGAGATGGGACGCTCTGCGGAGGGGGAGACATCCCAGGCTGGCTGGAGTGACGTGTGAAGTGTTCGACCCTGCTGCTGAAGCGAGCGAATCTGAGGCTGGTGATCGGGCCGAGCCCGACTTGTCGGCTCAGGCCCGCAGGCCGCTTCGGGAGGAGGGTGAGCACGCCCAAGACCAGCAACCCCTTTCAGACAGCTCGGACTGACCTGCACCAGGCGGGTAAGCTAGTCCGAGCTTTTTCTTAACTCAACCCGAGCTGGCTCGGGTTCAGGGCGCCTGTCAAAAAACAAAAAAAACTCCGCCTCTGCCTCCGCCTCCTCCTCCTCCTCCTCTTCCTCCTCTTCCTTCTCCTCCTCTCCCGCCTCCTCCTCCGCCTCCTCCGCCTCCTCCTCCTCCTCCTCCTCCTTCTCCTCCTCGTCCTCATCCGCCTCCGCCTCCTCTCCTCCTCTTCCTTCTCCTCCTCCTCCTCCTCCTCCTCTTCCTCCTCCTCCTCTCCTATTCCTCCTCTTCCTTCTCCTCCTCCCCCGCCTCCTCCGCCTCCTCCTCATCCTCTTCCTCATGTTCCTCTCCTCTCCCTTCTCCTCTTCCTTCCTCCTTCTCCCCCTCTCTCTCCTCCTCCTCCTTCTCCTCCTCCTTCCTCCTCCTCCTCCTCCTCCTCCTCCTCCTCCTCCTCCTCCTCCCCCTCTCTCCCCTCCTCCTCCTTCTCCTCCCCCTCCTCTGATCATCCCCCATGCTCAGCCAAATAGTTCAAATTGTTCCTCATCCCCCTCATCCCCGTACTCCTCTTCCTCTGGAGGTTCGGAGGCGGGTTGTTCCCATTGGCGTCGTTCGAAGTTCAAGGTTTTCGTCAGTGTTGTTTACTCTCGGCGGCTTTCCAAATTCGGGATACCCCCCAGCAGTTGCGCCTGGCCGAGAGCGTTCTGTGGGTGCCCGGATCGTTCCGAACGGCCGCCGGAGGCCCGAGTTATGACCCCCAAATCATTAGGAGGCCAGCATTTTGGCCGATCAACGATTCAGGCATGTCGATGGGCGGGCGGGGGTAGGGCTTGGGATTCTTCGAAGGCGTGCCGAAATCCGAACCCTACCCTCGGGGGCATCGATAGGAAGGATAAAAGCTCAGGTGGAGTTGCATCGACTCCCGATTGCCCATTGATCGCCGATAGGGGTCTGATAGCTGTGCCCCGCCCTGGAAGGTGCGGATTCGCTATCGAGGGCCTATCGCCAGTCTATTGGCGATGTATCGCCGACTCCAGGTCGATGCTCCCCCCCCTATGCCAGCCCCCCATATCGTTGCCCATCGTGCCCCCGCCCCCAGCAATTCAGGATAATCGATGGCTGGTGGGGGTAGGGTTCGATGGTTGTTTGTCGGGCCACGGTCTGGTGCTCGGAGGAGGAACACTGGGAGCAGGACCATGACCATGATACGATGTTCACCGCCGCCACGGCGGACAATACAGTGGACATTCTTCGGGGTAGGTTCGCGAGCGTGAGACGTTCAACAGCATATGTGCAATATGTTTCGGTGTTAGCATGTGCAGCTCCAAGAAAACAAAGGCACCGATACCGCCACCCTTCCCTCATTTTCCCCTGTTGGGCCTCCTGGGAGGCCCTCGTCGGCGCACGACTGGGTTCGTCTCGAACTTCTGGTCTCAGAACCCCACCCCGGGAGAGGTCCGGGTAGCAACGGTACACGTCGTGTCGACCGGCGGCGACCCCGCCATGGGCGTCCCATGTCGAGCGCCGCCCGTGGCCCACAGTCGGCTCATTTTTGAGCGATCTGACGTTTCGGAGGATCCTCCTCCTCCTCCTCGATCCTCCCCCTCCTCCTCCTCCTCCTCCTCCTCCTCATCCTCCTCCTCCTCCTCCTCCTCCTCCTCCCCCTCCTCCTCGGCCGATCGTTCAAGGGGGCAAGGTTGAACGATCCCAGCGGTGTCAGGAGCCAACGCCAGGGTCGACACGGCGGGAACCCGCTGCATCGGCTAAGGACACGTAGGAGTGACCTTTCGCCGGAGGGACCTTTGGTGCGGGCTTGAGATCCCCAGATGACTGTACGCGATGTGGCAGCAGCGTCTTGCACGCTCGGATTTGGCGGTTCGGCCTCCCCGCGGCCCCCGAAAGTCGCGCACCAGAGGTCACTCTCACCCAGGGTGATTCTTTCGTGTAGCAGGCCCTAGCGGTACCGTATCTTCGAGGCGGTCTCCTCTCGAGTTCTTTGTCCTCATCTTCTTGGTCTTGTTCTTGCCCCGGCTATTCCCTTTATCTCGCAGGACATCTTTCTTCCCCAACGCCGGATTTCTCGACGAACCATGAACCGCTCAGAAAAGGCCTGGGATAATGGTCGACATGCCCCTGTTCTTCCTGCCCGGGCTCCTTGCCCCTGCCCACACTCCGCGCCTCGCAGATTTCGGGGGGGAGGAGGATCAGGAGGGAAAATATTGGGAATCCGTTTATTTGTGTATATTCGTTTGTGTGTCCCAGGGCCCCTTCAGAGGAGCAGAGCAGGAGCAGGTACATTTATGATTCTGCCTTTGGGCGCGGCCTCACAGGTGCAGCTCGGGGCGGGCCAGCAGGGCGGCGCCTTCGCGGGGGGGCAGGCGCGCGTGGCGGCGGTCAGGGAGGGTCGGCGGCGAGCGCGGGGGGAGAAGTGCGAAGGCGAGGGCCTTCTCAGAAGGCGAGCGGGACTCCGCAGAAGCTTTCTCTCCTTCTGAGAAGATTGTTTTGGGGGGAGGCTTAGAAAACTTCGCCGAAGGCCAGGGGACTTCCCAGCCTTCTGCGAAGGCCCCCCCCTTCTCATTTGTCGACTAGACGTAAGAGTGACCTTTCGCCGGAGTGACCTTTGGTGCGGGCACAGATGGGCCCCCAGATGGCTGAAAACGAAGCAGGAGCAACGGCTTGCGTGCCCAGGTTTGGTCCCCACTCGGCCCCCAAAAGCCGCGCACCAAAGGTCACTCTTACCCAGGGTCACTCTTGCGTGTAGCCGAATTTGCCCCCCAAGGCTCGCCGCCGGGAGGGGAGGCGTCAGAGGCAGAGGATCTCGGCGGGGGGTGCCGAAGGTGCCCCTGGCCCGACGTGCCCCCAGACCTCTCCCTCCGTACTGGAGCCCCCGGGGCCCTCCGGGCCTCGTGAGAGGTGCTCTGGAGGCCGTGGGGGGATCCATGGATGTCCTTGGCACACCTGGGGCCAGGGGCATTTCCAGCAAGGCCCGATCCAGCAGCAGCGAGGCGCCCTGGCTTGCCTGCATGCTCGCCAAGCAATCTTCTGAGAGCCTTTTTGCGATTTCTGCCGAGTCATGGGAGTTGTTTGCGGTCTCCTGAGGGCTCCAGTGGCCCTTCTAAAGTTGTTTGGATCTTCCTGATTCAAGCAGTGGCGAAGCGTCCTGGCTCGCCTATAGCCCCACCAAACAATGTTCTAAGAACCTTTTGTGGTTCTCACGAAATGTTCTTAGAACATGTCTGGCGGAGTCTGTCTTGTTTTAACACATCGGGCTTATGTTCTACGAACATTGTTTTGTTATTCGAACATTCTTGGGTTCTAAGAACATTTCGCGGTATGACTATAGGAACGCCGGGACGGTCGGTCATGCTCAACTGGTACTTCCTGGGGCCGCTTGATGTCTCCCAGAACTTCCTGTGGCTTCCTGGGCCCCCCTCGGGCTTCCTGGGGCCTCCTGGTGCTTCCTGGGGCTCCCGGGGCGTTTCCTGCCGATGATTGGGAGTTTCTTAGGGCTTCGCAGGGCTTCCTGGGGCTTCCTGAGGCATCTTGGGGGTTCCTGGAAGCTCATGGGGCTTCCTGCAGCTTTCTGGTGCTCCTTGAAATTACCTGGGGGTTCCTGGGGGGGGTCCTCAGGCCTCCAGGAGTTTCCTGAAGCCTCCTGGGGCGCTTGAGGCCGCCCAGGGAGTGCTTGCGCTTGGGCGCTCTTGGAGCGTCTGGGAGCGCCTGGGGGCGTCTGGGAGCGACTGGAAGCGACTGCGGAGCGCCTGGGGAGCGGCGGGGGGCGCCCCGTGGGGCGCCTGGGCGCGAGCGTGAAGTCGTGGTTGAGCTGTCGGAGGGCACGGAACCCACTGGCGCGCCGCCTCCTCCTCCTCCTCCTCCTCCTCCTCCTCCTCCTCCTCCTCCTCCTCCTCCTCCTCCTCCTCCTCCTCCTCCTCCTCCTCCCCCTCTTTCTCCCTCTCTTCCTGCGCCCGCTCCCCCCTCGGCCGCGTTGGCCCCAGCACCCGGGCGCGGAGGCGTGCCACGGGTGCACGGCGACCTGCGTCTGCACCCGCACGCACCACAACGAGGCTGCCGAGTGGACCACCATGGAGAGCTCGCCGGCGGTGCGCGACGAGCCGGGGACGGGCAAGGGTCTGGCGCGCCAGACTAAGCAAGATTAAGCCGGATTAAGCGGGATTGAACTGGATTAAGCCGGACTAAGCGGGATTAAGCTGGATTAAGACGGATTTCGGACCAGGGCCGAAACAGAATTTGACCTCCCCCAACGTGGCGCGCTGGAGGCCTGGGCGGCCCGCCAGGGCAAGGGCGACGACGTGGACGGACGCCGCTGCGGCGCGACGCCGCAGGCCGAGGCCGATCGAGGCGGCGCGCGCCCTCCACCAGACCGCGGGGCCGCGCCCGCGTCGAGGCCGCCGGGCGCGCGGGGGGGCGCGCAGGCCAAGGGCCGCCGCGCGCCGGGCGCGGGCGCCGGCGACCCGCGGCGAGCATCCACCCGGACCTTCCAGGGGGGCCAAAAAATAGCACGCGACTAAAAGAAAAACCTGTCCCAGAGCTATTCTACGTCCTGGTTTTAGGCTGTTGCCTTTCGTTTGTTAGGTGTTTGGCCCTCCCGTGCTGAAGAATAGCTCTCTGGAAGGTCAGGGCACGGCAGGTGCCCGCGGCGGTCCTCGGCGGCGAGGCCGGGGCGCTGCCGGGCGAGAGCCGCGTGGGCCAGGGAGAGGAGCCAGCGCGCCCAGGCGCCGCGCGTGGAGGACGACCTGGCGCAGGGGCCCGGCGCGCCTCCCGGCCCCGCCCGGCGTGGCGCAGCTGGGCCCAGAGCCCGAGCCCGAGATTGCCGCGCCGTAGCAGCCGACGCGGGGGAGCCGACTCGGGGAAGATGATTCCAATTCGATCCAGGCGGGGAAGGCGAGGCAAACGCCGGCGGGAGAGGTGGTCAATCCCTTCGCAGTTTGACGCCGCCTGCGCCGACCTCGCAGCGGCCGAGCACGCGGAGACGGGGAGCAAGTACGCGCGTTGGTTAGACAGTTCAAACACGGAGCGCTGCTAATTACGGAGTCTGTCCGAACTGACGCGCGCAGGACGATGGCGACGGGTTTTGCGAACAACCTATGGCTTTCCGAGCAGCCCAAGACGCATCGCCTTGGCTGGGAGGTCGTGGCTGGGAACAGAGTGCCGCGCAGGACTGTCGTCGCCGCGAAGCATCTTCAGGAGGGGAAAAAACACACAGACACAATTATAATCGTCGATTCCAAGGAAAATATGGGAAACTACGGGAAGTGGGGGCGAAGACCAAAACCCAGAACATATGGGAAGATATGGGGAATCCTTTTATTTGTGTGTATTTCTCTGTGTGTCCCAGGGCCCCTTCCCATCTGCTCGTCGCCGCGCGCCGCGCTCAAGTCGTTGCGGGGTGCCCCGACCCGCTGCCCAACCGATCGCGCAGCTGGCCCACCCTTGCTGCTGCCCCCGGCGGCGGCGAGACCCCAGGTGGCCAGAAGCTCCCGGCAAGCCTTCGGATGCTACTCGGAGGAGGAGGAGGAGGAGGAGGAGCGGGGGTGGACAGACCTCCTACCCTGACACGTCGATTAAGGAACTCGCCGTTTTCGGTTCGCGAGAGGGCGTCGCGGCCGTGCTTTCTGCGGGTCCAGGTCCGTCGGCTTCGGTCCCAGGCCGTTTTTGCTAAAGGGAGGTTTACGAAAGGGAGGTTTGTCCACCGCCGAGCTACGCTGTCTCCGAAGCGTTTTGAACGACCAGGCTCCCTTGGGCGAGCCGGGCCGCGCGGCCCTCCTGGCGACGATCACGACGGCCTTCTTCTTTACCTTGGAAGGCCTCGGAGTTTCCGGCGCAGCCTGGGCGCAGCTGGACGGCGGCCCGAGCGCCTCAGGGTTGCAACATGGAGGGGCGTGGCGGGAACGACCGCCCAACCCGCTGCGTGGTGGAGGCGATGGAGGTTGTCCTCCACGTCAATGGGGTAGGACAGACAGGTGGGACGCGGGCTGCGCGAGGAATCAATACAGGGACCCGGACCGGCGGGCGCCTTGGCCGAGATGGAGCCCCACTCCCCCTGGAGGTCCGGCGGGGCGGGGCGCTCGCTCCCGCTGTCCCGCCAGGCGGCCGGGACGCCCATCAAGCGGCCGAGGGTGCAGCGCTGCGCGCGGGTCGCGGCGGCGGCGGATGGGCTGGCCGCCGGCGACGCGGGGGCCCACCATCCTGCGCGTCGGGGGCGCGACTTCCACGCGCCGCGCTCGCTCGAATCCAGCCGGCGGAACTTCGCGGTTGTCCGCCGGCGCAGCAAAACGTTGGTTCAGTGGCGACCCGCCGATCGGTGATGCGGCGCAGTTTCATTGGCTTGCGCGGTTGCGTTGGGCCCCCTCTGGCGCCCCTGAAGCCGCGCACCAATGAACTTTCTTCCAGGCTCAATTCCTACGTGTAGTCAGAACAAGGGACGCCGCCGCCGCCACCGCCGCGTCATCACCATGAGCAGTCGGTTTATTATTTTGTCAGCGCTGAACTGGTGGCAAGTATATCACCGATGTATCCGCGATGTGGGTCGATGTGGGCCCCGTTCTTTCCCGCGCCGACGGTGCCGATGCATCGCCTTCGTCGCCGTTTCATCGCTGATGCATCGGCGATGCGGCGTGACCGTTAGACCCCATCTGCTCCGACCCCACCCCGGGAAGCTTCTACAGGGGCCAGCGAGGGCAAGGGAGGGAGGGAGAGGTATCATGGCCAAGGCCCAAGGCCATAATATCTCCCAGATGCATGGCCCCTTCACTTGCGGTCAGCACAGCATCTGCTGCTCCGCACTCGTTCGCACACGAGCCTCGGGTTTTGATTCGCGGTCTCTTTTCCTGGGTCCACTCGCCGGCGCACCCGATCGGTGGTTGAGTTGGTGCACCAAGACCGTTTGAAACATCCGAAAGTAATGCAAAGTTCCGCCGCCATCTGTTGATCCCAAATTGTGATCGGCGGGGCAGGGGTGCTGCGCAGACCGTCTGCCAAACTCGCCAGCGACCGTGCACCATGCAGATTCTGAGATGGTGGTCCGGCCTGCGTTGGCAACTCGCTCGAGTCCTCGCAGGCAGGCAGCACTGCCACCGCACTTGACCGCCAAATTGTTAATTAGAATCCTGATTCAGCTGAAGTCGGCGGCGCTGCCAGGAGGGAATGACAGGGGGCAGGCCTTCTCAGAAGGCGGCCGGGCTTCTCAGAAGCCCATCGGCCCCGTAAGCAGTCGCTTCTGTCTTCGGGGAAGGCTGGAATAGTTACATTTTCAGAAGACCCGAGGCTCTCTGAGCCTTCTGAGATGGCCCGACCCTCGATTCCCCCGATTCGATTCGATTCGATTCGATTTCGATGGATTCCGATTTCGATTCGATTCGACTTGGGATTCCGATTTGGGTTCCGATTTCTCACTGGACGCATACAAGCCTGCCGATTTCCGCCGATTCTATTTTTTCCGATTCGGCTGCCGATTTCCAACGATCCGATTCGTGTCGATTGCCGATCCGACTTATCGATTCGAATTTGGGCTCTCCTGCCCCTCTGCCCTCCCCCCAGGGCTCGCCGCCGAAGAGGGTCCTTCAGGCTGCCCCGCTCCTCCAGCTCCTCCTCCCCTGCCAGGCGGGCCTGGGCCAGCAGCCGGGCCTGGGCCAGCAGCAGGGCCTGGGCCAGCAGCTCGGCATAGGCCCGGGGGCCGCCGCAAGCCTGGGCCGGGGCACAGCGAGCGCCCGCCCAGACAAGTCTCGGAGGAGGAGGAGGAAGAGGAGGAGGAGCAGCAGGAAGAGCAGGAGGAGGAGGAGGAGGAGGAGGAGCAGGAGGAGGAGGAGCAGGAGGAAGAGGAGGAGGAGGAGGAAGAGGAGGAGGAGGAGGAGGAGGAAGAGGAGGAGGAGGAGCAGCAGGAAGAGCAGGAGGAAGAGGAGGAGGAGGAGGAGGAGGAGGAAAGGGGCAGGAGAAACGCCAGACCCGTGCCTGTAAGTGGGAGCGCCCGCCCAGACAGGTCTCGGAGGAGGAAGAGGCACCCCGGACTCCATAACAAAGTGGGGGGGGGTCACACTCGGGGGGGGTCCAATTCGAGCTGTCTTAGAGGGTTCGGAGGGGGGTCTGGGCAAAGGGCCGCCCTCTGGTGGATAGTCTGGGGGGTCTGAAGCTTCTCGTCTGGGAGGGTTGTGACCCCCTCCCTTTTATTACGAAATCTGAGGTGCCCGTGCCTGTAAGTGAGGCGTGCTCCTCTACTGGAGGAAGATTCAAACATGGTAAACGCAAATAGTAGGGGGACGATGCTTTGACAATTTTCGGCTACGTTTGAACATGCTTTGACTACTTTTGATTTTTCTCGGGCCGAACGAAAAGGGGGGATAGGGAAAGGGGGGGTTACGAAATCTGCTGCATGCAGCTGGTTTCGGCCCCGCCGCCGGGCCCATTCCTCGATAAATGGGCGCCTCCCGGCGCCGGGAGGCGCTGGGAAAATCAGCTACGTGAGCTGATTCTCACCCCCCCCTTGGATATCCCCCCCTTTCGCCCGGCCCGATTTTCGTTTTTTTTTTTTGTTTTTTTTTTTTTTTTTCTTTTTTTTTCTTTTTTTTAAAAAAAACAAAAAAATCCGCCCACAGAAGAACATGCCCGACCGAACCATAACTCGACCCTGCCCTCGTTTTCTCCTTGTTGGACCTCCCGGGCCTCCGTCGCCTCCACCGCTGGGTTCGCCCCGACGCCGTGGTCGGAACGAGCCCCAAGAGAACGAGGTCCAGGGAGTGGCGATATCGGTGTCTTTTGGTTTCTCCACAAGATCGATGGAGAAGTCCTGCACCATATCATCCGGCATTGATCTGATTCGCAGTGCACCGCTGCAGTCCCCATTCCGTTACGCTTACGGTGGAGTCCCATGCCAAGAAATTCTTTGTTTGCCTCCAGGCCAGGGTGCCCTGGGTTTCGATGGGTTCGATGGTTTTGTGATGGAAAGCGTGGTGTTCCCGCACCAAAAATGAATGGAGGTCCTGGGGGTTCAGGGTTGGGTTTCTTCTGGAAGGCTTCTTGTGGTCGGGTCCCTACTGTACAATCTGTTGTTTGGGGTATCGATTAGCTAAACACTCCACCCGGGTACACTCGGAACGCGGTGCCCCGCGCATTTGTGAAGCCCTCTTTCCGCGGCCAGTGTCTTCGAGCGCTCCGGAACCTGCCAGAACGCCCAGAAGCATCTCTCGAGAATCTTCGATCGTCGACGACGACAAAGACGACGGCGACGTCGACGGCGAAAGTTTCGTTACTGTTGAAGCCTGTTGCATGGCCGATTGTGATTGTATTGTGGGCCAGTGTTGGTCAGTTTTCAGCCCCGAGGAGGAGGAGGAGGAGGAGGAGGAGGAGAAGGAGCAGGCTAGAGGTGGCTGCGTCCTGACGAACTCCAAAGCCAACAGCTGCAGCTCCAGCAGGGTAGAGGAGGAGCATGAGGATAATGAGATGGAAGGAAGAGGATGTGGGAGGAGCGTGGTAGGAGGACGACGAGGAGGAGGAGCAGGAGAGCGACGAGCGGGAGGAGTAGGAGGGATAATGGAGGTTGTGGGAGGAAGAGTTACGTGGAAGTGAGAGGAGGAGCAGCACTAGAAACAGGAGAGGGGAGGCAGGAGGAGGACTATATAGAGGAGAAGGAGCAGGAACAGGAGCAGGAGGGAACAGGAGGAAGATGGAGAAGGGAGGAGGCGGAAGGAGGAGAATGAGCAGGAGGGAGAGAGGAGGGGGGGTGAAGCAGTAGGGGGCCCAGTTGGGCTGGCCCCCAGGCCAGCAGCCCGGCCTGGGACAGCAGCCGGGCCTTGGCATGGGCGGCCAGCTCGGGGGCTTGCTAGGCATCTGGGGCTCTCTCCATCCTCCTCCGCCTCGACCTCCGCCTCCGGCGCCGCCACGTTCTTCCATTCCTTTCTCACCTCTTCGTCATCATCATCATCATCATCATCATCATCATCATCATCATCACCATCACCATCACCATCACCATCACCACCATCACCATCACCATCACCAATTTCATCATCAGCCTTACCAGCATCACTCCAGTCGTCATTGTTATCATCATTGTTCTCATCATGATCATCATCAGCATCAACATCATCATCAGGAGCATCATTATTGTCATCGGCAGCATAATCGTCGCCACCATCGTCACTACCATCGTTACCACCATCAGCATCACCATCGTCATCGTCATCATTCTCAGCTGCATCATCAGCAGCATCATCATCACCATCATCATCAGCAGCATCATCATTGGCATCATCATCATGAACATTATACTGCCCCCGCGAGCTCAGGCCTTCGGACACTCAGGGGTCTCACCTTGACGCGACCCCCCGCCCCAAGCTGAGGCGGAGGGCACCCCGCCCGAAGCCATGCTGTAGGCTATGCTCCAGAGTGTGGGCACCGCGCGCCTGTCAGCGTGGTGAGGATGACGCAGGCCAGCAGCAGCGAACCAGACGTGCATGGGGGCCCGCAGCCAGAGGATCGACCAGCTTCGCGGGCTTTTCGGGACGTTCTGCATAGTTCAGCATTATTCCTGGACGAACGCGAGCCACTGCACTTGCTTGGCGATGTCGATAGATATCGAGGCGAGTTTCATCAATCCCAATGCGATCATCACTCACCCACAAGCGCCACCAGGAGAGCAGACACACCGCGACTGTATTCTATCGCTGCAGAGTCTTCATTACTTGGAATTCAGTGGATAGCGATGCTCTTCGCGGGCTCGATCAGCATGGGGGCGGTCCATATGCCCATGGGCATAGCGCTCTGGCCAAACCAATCACTACCATGGGATGGAACGCGTTGATTATGCAAGGGGGTGTTGACGGCTTGAATAAATATCGAACGCGTGCCATGCCATGCAGATGCCCGTCTATGTCGGGGCTAAGATACGCCAGCGCGTGACTGGTGCCCCCACACCACACGGAAGATTCGGTGTATCACATGTGGGTGCATGTTGGACGGGGGCGTGGCGCGCACGCGAACAGTTCTTTTGGATGTAGTATCGCCGTGGCCAAACGACGTGTTTACAATATTGACGTAGTGAATGAAGAATCTACACCAACGTCAGCTGACCTCCGCGGGCGCGCAGGAGTTACCTAACTATATCGAGGGCAGCCGCGCGCGCTTCTCATTGCATGTTATGTCCTGCCTCGGCTATCTGGGCCTGGGCTTCATCACGCATGGCGCCAAGGACGTCGTCGACTGGGCTTGGGCTTACCTGACTGTCAACGACATGCCGACAGGGATCACGCCTAATATTTAACCTGGTTAGATCCGCGGGTTCGGGAAAAAAGGGGGTCGTTCACTGCGTGCTGGCACCTCGGTGGGAAGAGCTCTACCGGCCGACGAAAACGAGCCTGGCAGGTTCATTCACAACCAGCTTGTCACTTGCAGAACTCGCCGCAGTGAGTTCCCACTGCGACGTCGGCGCTATTCATATTCGCGCCCAGCAGGTCACTCTCTCGAGCAGATTATGCCCGTGGGCCAGGTAATAGGATGGAGATGATCAAGCCAGCACGGCTGCATCGGGAGATACACGCTCGCGCCCGAGCCCTCGCGCGCGTTACAGGCCACATGCAGACCTCGATCACAGACGCCATCAAGTAGGAGTCTTGGCGACGGGGCTGCATACCTCGCCAGCGTCGCGCCAGCGTTCTCAAGGACGCGGCAATACAGATTGGCAAATGCAAGAAGGCTTCTTGCGCGATGAAGATGGATCAGATCCGGGCGAGCCGCGATCTTCTGCTCGAACACATTGTTTGAGAACAAGGCAGCGCGCACTTCGCAGCGGAAGGGGGCTCGTCCAGCGCGGCGCCGACATGCGCGTCTTGATCGACTTGGCACTTCCGAGGCAAAGAGCAGGTTGTCGTGCCAAGCGTCTTCCGTTCAACTCGACCGTCTGTCGCGATTTCCAACGACAGCTGCGATCGCATCGGCGATGAAGGGGTCGCTGGTGAGAGGGGAGTCTGGATTGAGATAGACGCGCGATCTCTCTCGGCTTGTACATTTGACGCGCGCGCGAGTCGCCGCGCGGCCCCGCGCCGACGCCCCTGCATAGCGCAGTTGTCGACCCGACCGCCGTCTTCCGAATGCTAGATCGGATTGACTCTTCGACGCCGGCGGGAGAGATCCCGGACGCGCTTGGCACGGCAGGCGGGGGGGGCAGCGGCGGAGGTGTTGGGGCGCTTTCAGCAGCGTCTATGGCGAGAGAAGCGACGACGGGGAAATGGGCATGACCAGTCGAGATCACGACCTCGCTGCTGAACCTGCATTACACCGCTCACCCAGGGCCGACGCAATCAGGAATGGGATTTGTCGGTGCCAACTGCAGATTGCCGCGATGCGGGCCAGCTTGCAATGCGCCTCTACTAGCGCTGCACGCGAAGGATGCGATTTGATCCCGAGCGCCGCGGCGCCATCAATCAGAACTTCGTGGATCATTGCCAGGCGCTTTAAGCCCGGACTTGCATGGGCCGCGCCATCGCTGCCGGAAAGAGAATCAGCCCCACGGGAAGCCGCGCCGCGCGCGCCCACTCACGCGCGCGTGATTTTTGCAGCCCTGGAAATTGTCGGCGACTGTGCCCTCGGATCGGCCTCGCCCAGCGCTGGGCGCAGCATTCGCCGCCGCCGTGCGTCTGCGGGGTATCTACTCACGGCGGCGCCCGCGGCAGCGCGCAGCGTTCGATGCGGCGACGGGCATTTGCAGCAGCTCCTCGAACGGCATAGCGCCGAGGCCGCGGCGCACCTCCAGTCGCGCGATGCTAGCCTCGCCCCTCGGCCAGGGGCAGGAGGGGGGAATGGGGGGCCCAAGTGGGTCCGAGTTGTCTACGGGCTCGTTTTACCAATTGGTTTCTACGCGGCGTTCCGACATGGCCGAAGTGCTGGGTCATTCATGGTCGAGTGATGTTCGTTCTCGGTTGAACCCGTCGGCGCGTTCCTTGGCGCGCCCATCGACGATTCGTTTACGTCTGTCCGGCTGCCCGACGGCCCCGCGCCGCAAACCGGGCAGCTGTGCGCCGCTGACAACGGCGCGCCTTCCTTGGCCTTGGACATCGGAGGCCAGGCTCAGAACATAGGCAAGCCGGACGCACTGGCATCTCTGAGGGCCCACAGAGCCGCCGAGCAGGCCTGGCGTCGCGCCGTCGGGGGCGATGTCCAGGATCTCAGCCATCTTGTCGGCCCGCAGCAACCGTCGCGAAATCGAAGCTCGAGTCCAATCCGGCAGCGCAGGTTGGACCCGTCTTCGCGGGCACTGGTCCTGCGCAGGCCTTTTGGAGGCGCGAAGGCTGTCGCGTCTTTCTAACGTCGCCGTCTCTGGCCGTCGCTGTAAAGCGCCGTTCTCAGCCCGCTGGGAAGGCGTCGCCAGGGTCGCTCCATCGCGCGTAAGTTACGATCCGCGACGAACGGGGCCGCTCACAACGTCGACGAACACCAGATGGCAGGCGCCTAGAGAGTGGAGAGTGGCAGATCGCTCCTGCATCGATTGAACTTTTGGTGCGCCGGTTGTGCCGGTGGCAGAGCATGGCGACCGCCCCAATGCATCGCGGGCATTTTCCCGCGATCTATCTCAGGCGGCGCAAGTTCGAGCAGCGGGCGGCCAGAAGCACCCGCCCAGTCGGTGCAGCGACTTTGAATTTGCTTGGCGCCATCGCAGTGGACTCGAACATTCGCCCCTTGGCAAAACCAGTTTGCGAACAATTTTACGCGCCTGTCCTCGCGCCCCATGGGCGAAAGTTTCCAGGGGGCGCGGCGGCCGCCCACTGAGAAGGAAAAACTGGGTGACGAGCGCGCGCGTGATTATATTATTGCGATGCGCGTGCCCTTCGGCTTCCATGCAGGATGCCCCAGTCGCCCGCGCCCGCCCCCCCCCTTGGCGGCCCTCGTCGAGAGCGAATGCGAGGGCGACATGCATCGCCTGCTGACATTCGCAACCGAGAAATGTGGCCAGCGATTTTGGGACATCCAATCAGCGGTGCACCGAGCTACACCGAGCGAGGTGGATCAAGGTCAGCCAGTTTAATGCATCGCATTCCAGCTGAACGGCGCAAGTATTCGATGTAGAACTACGCGTCTCAACGCGGATGAGACAGCGCGACGTTTGCGGCATGGCGGACGGGCGGGCGCGCGCCAGATCTCCTGCACCACGTTTGCGCATTGTCTCGTGCGCGCTGCGAGAAAGTGATCCTGGCCCAACATGTCCTCGCGAATGCCATGGCCAGCATGATTTTTTTACGCTTCGCGTATCCCCACCAGCCCAGCTCACAACAGCAACTCTTGCGAAGCATGCCGATTGTAGTGTTTTTCAGGCGTGTGTCCGCTTGGCCCCGCATATCTCCCCTGTTCCTCCTTCCCCCCGCCTCCTTGCACATTCTCCTTGTGGGGGGAGCGGGGGAAGGACGAGGCGGAGGAGGAGGGAGAGAAAGCGCTCCTCGTGGTTTGAGTCGTTTGGGGTTTCTCGTCCTGGTGTGAGTCGGTCGGGCCCTTCTTCCTGGTGTGAGTCGTTCGGGCTCTTCGTGGTGTGAGTCGTTCGGGCTCTTCGTCCTGGTGTGAGTCGTTCGGGCTTCTCGTGGTGTGAGTTGTTCGGGCCCCTCGTCCTGGTGTGAGTCGTTCGGGCCCCTCCTCCTGGTGTGATCGTTCGGGCTCCTCGTGGTGTGAGTCGTTCGGGGCCCTCGTCGTGGTGTGAGTCGTTCGGGCTCCTCGTGGTGTGAGTCGTTCGGGCGCCTCGTCCTGGTGTGAGTCGTTCGGGCCCCTCCTTCTGGTGTGAGTCGTTCGGGCTCTTCGTGGTGTGAGTCGTTCGGGCCCCTCGTCCTGGTGTGAGTCGTTCGGG